ACCACTATTATTCAACATACTACTGGAAGTCCTAATAACAGCGATCAGACAAGAAGAAGAAATAAAAGGCATCGAAATTGGAAAAGAGGAAGTAAAACTCTCATTATTTTCAGATGGCATGATATTATACAGAGAAAAACCAAAAGACTTCACCAATAGCCCTAACCGGTTTGGCTCAGTTGATAGAGTATCGGCCTGCAGACGGAAAGGCCCCAGGTTTGATTCTGGTCAAGGGCATGTACCTTGGTTGGGGGTACATCCCCAGTAGTGGGTGTGCAGGAGGCAGCTGATTGATGTTTCTCTCTCATCAATGTTTCTAACTCTCTATCCCTTTCCCTTCCTCTCTGTAAAAAATCAATAAAATATATATTTAAAAAAAACACTTCATCAATAAACTACTAGACTTAATAAATGAATTGGGCAAAATCAACAGGATATAAAATCAACACTCAGAAGTCGATTGCTTTTTCATAAACCAAAAATAAATTCTCAGAAAGAAAAACTAAATAAGCATTCCCATTTACCATTGCAAAAAAAAAAAAAAATTAAGATACTTAGGAATAAACTTAACCAAGGAGACAAAATACCTGTATTCAGAAAACTACAGGATGTTAAAAATAGAGGTAGAAGAAGATATAAACAAGTGGAAGAATATATTGTATTTTTGGACTGGTAGAATCAACATCATTAAAATGTCCATAGTGCTCAAGGCAATCTACAGATTCAATGCAATCCCTATTAAAATACCAAAGTCATATTTCACAGAGCCAGAACAAATTTATATGGAACCAAAAAGACCCTGAATAGCTACAGCAAGAAAAACAACGTCGGAGAGATCACAATATATGACAAGTTTTACTACAAAGCCACATACTCAAAACAGCCTGGTGCTGGCAGAAGAACAGGAATATAGATCAACAGAACAGAACAGAGACCCCAAAAACAGACCCAAGCCATTACACTCAATTAATAATTGACAAAGAACATCCAATGGAGTCAAGACAGCCTCTTTAATAAGTGATGCTGTGATAATTGGACAGATACATGAAAAAAAAAAAAGAAAAGAAACTAGCACACCAACTTACACCATACACAAGAATAACCTCAAAATGGATAAAAGACTTAAATGTAAGTCATGAAACCATAAAATCCCAGAAGAAACCAGAGGCAGCAAAATCTCGGACATCTCTCGTACCAATATGTTTATGGTTACATCTTCCAGGGCAAAGAAAAAAAGGGAAAAAAGAAACAAATGGGACTGCATCAAAAGAAAAGCTTCTGCACAGCAAAAGAAACCATTGTGATAAAATGAAAAGGTAGCCCACTGAAAGGAAGAACATTTTTGGCAATGATACATCTGATAAAGGGTTAATATTCAAAACAGAAAGAACTGCTACACTGAAGACAAATAGTCCAATTAAAAATGGGCAAAGGCCCTGGCTGGTTTGGCTCAGTGGATGGAGCATCGACCTGCGGACCAAAGGGTCCCAGGTTCGATTCCGATCAAGGGCATGTATCTTGTTTGCAGGCTCCTTCCTGGCTGGGCCCTAGTCAGGGCTCCTGCAGGAGGCAACTAATAGATGTGTTTCTCTCACATCGTTGCTTCTCTCTGTCTTTCCCTCTCTCTTCCATTCTCTCTAAAAATCAATGAAAAATATCCTCAGGTGAGGATTAATAAAAACAAACAAAAAAATAAATAAGTAAAGCTGATTAAATGTTAAAAAAAAAAAATGAGCAAAGGACCTAAATAGACACTTCTCCTAAGTGGACATACGGACAACTAAGAGACATGAAAAAATGTTTGAAGTTACGAATCATCAGAGAGATGCACATAAAATGACATCTGTCAGAATGGCTATCATGAAAAAATCAACAAATGAAAAGTGCTGGCAGGATGTGGAGAAAAGGGAACCCCGGTACACTGCTGGTGCAAATGCAGACTGGTGAAGCCATTATGGAACAGTATGGAGTTTCCTCAAAAAAATTAAACATGGAACTGCCATTTGACCCAGTGATCCCACTTCGAGGAATATATACTAAGAAACCCAAAACACCAATCAGAAAACATGTATGCACTCCTACCTCATAGCAGCACATTTTATATTAGGTGCGATCTGGTACTAGCCCAAGTGCCAATCAGTCATTGAGTGGATAAAAAAGCCATGGTACGTGTACACCATGAAATAATATGCATCAGTAGAAAAAGAAGGACCTCTTGCCCTTTGAGACAGCATGGAGGGACCTGGAGAATATTATCCTAAGCGAAATAAGCCAGTCAGAGAAAGACAAGTATCACATGATCTTACTCATATGTGGAATCTAATAAACAAAATAAACTGATTAACAAGGTAGATTCAGAGAGATGGAAGCATGGGACAGACCGTGCAATCTGAGAGAGAACGTGCTGGGGCGTAGGTGGGTGGTAAGACAAAAACCAAAGAACTTGTATGCATATATGCATAACCCATGGACACAGACAATAGGGTGGTGTAGGCCTAGTGGAAGGCATGTGGTAGGGCTAGTAGGGGTGAATAGGGGGTAAAGGGGACATATGTAATACCTTCAACAATCTATATAGTAAAAGCCTAAGAACTGTTATGGCGGGTCAACCAGAACAAACAATCGCTATGGTGCTCACTGGCCACCAGGGGGCAGATGGTCAACGAAGGAACTGCCCCCTGGTGGTCAGTGCGCTCCCACAGGGGGAGCGCCACTCAGCCAGAAGCCGGGCTCACAGCTGTCGAGCACAGCAGCGCTCGTGGGAGGCCCTCTCCTGCCTCTGCAGCATTGCTAAGGAACAACAGTCCAAGCGGTAAGGGGCTGCAAGCAGGCGGGCAGTAAGGATCAAGGGGGTCCTGGACTGCGAGAGGTCACAGGCCGGGCTGAAGCCCCTGCGACCCCAGGGCACAAATATCGTGCACCGGGCGTCTAGTCTATATAATAGTATATAAAAGCCTAAATGACCAAATGACCGAATGACCGATTGACCAGTCGCTTTGATATGCACTGACCACGAGGGGGCAGACGCTCAACGCAGCAGCTAACCCCTGGTGGTCAATGTGCTCTCAGGGCAGGAGCCTTGCTCAGCTGACTGATGGGCGGCAGACGCCGGGCTAACGCCTGGTGAGTGCCGCTGCGGTGGCACAAGACTCTCCAGCCTCTGTGGCAGTGTGCCACTGACCAGCGGCGACATGCAGAGTGGGGCTGGGATGAGTGGGAGCGGCATAACACCCAGCAGAGGCTCGGGCTCCTCCGTGGCCACCTGTAGCTTCATGCACTATATCCCTCGGGGGATGTCAGACCCTGCGGGGAATAGGGTGGCAGTCTGGATTTTGAGTGGGCCTAGGCCAGGCTGAGGGACCCCACTGGTGTACGCATCCGTTCACCAGGCCTCTAGTAAAGGTATAATTAAAAAAATACATACTGAAAACAAAACCACCACCAAGAAAACATGATAATTTTCCAGTAATCAATAGAAAACAAATGGTATCTACATACAACCTGATAAGGAATCCAAACTACTTTTACTTTTAAAAACATCTCTGAGCTACAAGAAAACACAAATGGAACCAACATAATGACAAAATCAACCCAGTAACAAAAGGAAAATATCAGCCCTTGCTGGTTTGGTTCAGTGGATAGAGTGTCAGCCTGCAGACTGAAGGGTCCCGGGTTCGATTCTGATCAAGGGCACATGTCCGGGTTGCGGGCTTGATCCCTAGCAGGGAGTGTGCAGGGGGCAGCCAATCAATGATTCTCTCTCATCATTGATGTTTCTATCTCCCCCTCCCTCTCCCTTCTTCCCTTAAGTCAATAAAAATATATTAAATTAAAAAAACACCAAAAAAGTACAAAAGGAAGATATAGGTAGACAGAAATCATAAAAAAGAATGAAACAAATGCTGGAGATGATAAATTACAAGGAATGAATTGAAAACATAAAATTGAGTATCAAAATCAGACACGAAAGAATATGTGATGTAAAAGACACATCATCTGAAATCATTCAGGTGTAAAGAAAGAGGAAAAATAAATTTAAAGAATACAGCAGCCCCAGCTGGTCTGGCTCAGTAGACAGAGCGTCAGCCTGCAGACTGAAGGGTTTCAGGTTCTATTCCAGCCAAAGGCACATGCCCGGGGTGTGGGTTTGACCCCCCAGTAGGGGGCAGACGATCAATGATTCTCTCTCATCATTGATGTTTCTATCTCTCCCTCTCCCTTCCTCTTAAATCAATAAAGAAGTATATTTAAAAAAAAAAAAAACATTAAAAAAAAGAATACAGCAATGTGAACTAAGTAACACCATCAAGAGACCCATTATCTGCATTATGGGCATCCTGTGAAACACAGGCAGGTGGGAAGAGACAGAGGAAAACCAGGAAGGGAAAAAGAAAAAGGCATAAAAAGTTTATTTTAAAAAATAAAATAAGCTGCCCTAACTGGTTTTGCTCAGTGGACAGTGTCGGCCTGTAGACTGAAGGGTCCCGGGTTCAATTCCAGTCTGGAGCACAAACCTGGGTTATGGGCTCGATTCCTAGGAGGGGACATGCTGGAGGCATGTGATGAATGATTGTCTCCCCATCATTGATATTTCTCTCTCTCTCTCTCCTCCCTTCCTCTCTAAAATCAAGAAAAACATAAAACAATAACAACAAAAAACACAGGCTAAGGATGTAGAAAAATTATACCCAGAAATATGCACAAATGACCAACAGGAATATGAAAAATACTTTTCCTCGCTAATCAAGGTGGAATCCATTAGGCTCCCTGCCACACTACCAACCACATATTCTTCCCTATGAGTTCAGTGCAGCAGGTATTGGGGCTGCACGGAGAGAAGCCGGCAGTGCAAGCAAAGGACAGCAACTACCCAGAAAAGTGGAAATCACCCAGTGCCCAATCACCCAGTGTCCACATGTGAGGACGGAGTGCACCTGGGAGATGGGGCCTGGGGAAATACAAAGCCAAGTCCAGGTCATTTGTGAGAGCGAGGGTCTTACCCAGGGAGGATATAAGTTCAAAGTTCTCCAGCATCACATTCAGGTACAGCTGTCTCTGACCCTCATCAAGGAGGCTCCATTCCTCCCTGGAGAAGTACAGGGCAATGTCCTCAAAGGTCACCCCAACCTGTTAGAATTGAGACAATTGAAACCAGATCTGTCTTTCTGAGAACCTGCACTCCTACTCCTTACACACGTTCCCCACCCTCAACCTCCTCCAGAGCACCCGGGTTAGTGTGGACACCAGGCCCTAATGCTAGTGCAGGCTGCTCTCTCATCACAGTCCCATTACTCACTGTGATTGCCCTCAGCAAGGGCAGATGGTTTGGGAAGGGGGACAGCACAGAAACACCTTCTAAGCTCTGGGTGATGCCTGCAGGGCCCCAGCCTTCCTGCCAATCAACACCACTGCAGTCTCCCAGATCATGCCTCCAGGACAAAGACAAACCTGGGCTTATGCTTCACTCTAAGTCCCCACACCAGGTCCCCGGACCATCAGCTCACACTTCCTCCAGATGTGCACACCGCTGGGTAATGTTTATCCCCTTCCCATCTTCAGACCCAGATTCATTCCCTCAGCTCTGCCCCCTTCCTGCCCCAATGCCTCTGGATCTCGCTGGACTCACCCATGAACTTGGCATGCTATCCGAGAGAGCTCGTATTTCAGCCAGAACCAGGTCAACCCAGTCCACTGATGGATCCCAGAGCCCAGAAAGCCCGGATCGAGATTGTGACGTTCTCCCCGTCTGCCTCTGATCTTTACTTCTATACTCACCACCCACATCCCCATGGGAACCTCAGATACTAGTCAGCCCTGTCCTCTCTGCCCTGCACCTGCTGGGTCCTCAGAAGACACAACACTCCTCTCTCCCCTCCACCTTCCTCACGGTCCTCCACGCAGAACTGAGCTGCAGGACGGGACAGGCTCCCGCCCCCGGGCTGCCCTGTTCGGTGTGAGGAGGCGGTGAAGGCCCGGGGACTCGCACTCACCTCAGCCCAGCGACTTAGCGCGGATGCCGCCATTGCACTCAGTGAAGGAAGCAGGGCGGGAGCGGCGAGAGAAGAGGCAGCCGCGGGAAGGGCGGTCCCTGTCCCGGCCACGGAGAGGGTCACGCGCGTTACCACGTTCATCTTCACACCTGCACATGTGCTGTGTGCACCACAACTCCCACGGCTTTTCCCTCGGGGCATCTCCACTAGAAACTAGGGATCTGGAATCTCCGATAAAGTAGTGGCGGTAACCTGAGTCCAGACAAAATGCCTCCCTTGCGGACACCGGAAGTCCCGCCTCTAGTACTTCACCGGAAGCGCATTTTCTGACCCTTTATTGGTTGCCGCGTGGTATTTCAGATTTCGCTTTTGCATAATGTAGTCCAGGGTTTACCCACCTCACCACCAGGGGAAAAAACAAGGAGATAGGCCTCTGGTGAGGCTTCCCATCCTAATGAGTCATCTTGAAAATGGCTAAAGGAAGTTATCTTTTCCTGGTGAAGGGACTTGAGTACGTGCAAATGAAAACACATGATCCCTGAGCCCAATACAGCGACTCATAATAAAGAGGTATGAATGCATTAGAGTCTAGAACATTTTATCCCAAAATGACCTACGTAAACCATCATATATGAATGGGAAAAATATAACAGGAATGTAGGGCAGACTTTTGAAATAAAAAAGAACTAAGATGCATAATATAAACTTTATTTTTTTGATAAATGGGGAGAGATACAGACACCATGAGAGAGACACATCCTTTGGCTGTCCCCTGCACGCACCCTATTGGGGATTGAGCCCACAATCTGGGGATGTGCCCTGACCAGGAATGGAACTCCAGGATCTGTTGATCCATGGGAGGACTCTCAAGCCACTTAGAAACACCTGCCAGGGCATAATATAAACTTTAAATGGAACTATATTGTTTCGTTTTAATTTGAACATCAACTACAATAAATTTTTAAAAAGTGGAAAAATTGACTTTTGTTATTGGTGGTTTTCTTCATGAGAAAATGCTATTGTAATTCTCATAGTGAAAAAAAATTTGTCCTTTATAGACATATCTAACATGTCAGGTGTGATGATGTTTTAGACATTTCAATGTGATGAGATTATGAACATATTTATAAACAATATTTAGAGTAAATGAAGTCTATATTCATAATCAAAGTTGAGCCATGTATAACTCAGAAACTTAAAAAAATCACACAAAATATAAAAAGTAGTTATGGGTATGCATCTGTGCAATAAATATTAAAATCAATAATAATTCTTGCTGGCTGGCGTGTTTCAGTGTTTGAGCATCAACCTATGAACCAGGTCAGAGTTCGATTCTGGTCATGTTACATGCCCGGGTTGTGGGCTAGATACCCAGTGTGGAGTGTGCAGGAGGCAGCTGATCAATGATTGTCTCATCATTGATGTTTCTATATGTCTCTCCCTCTCCCTTTCTCTCTGAAATCAGTGAAAATATATTAAGAAGATAAAACAAAAAACCCTAAATAATCTAACAGAAGAGTTTAAATTTTTTTTTAAACTTGCCATAAATTATAGAAGTCAGTTCTAAATAAAAATAATCTCCAGCATCCTGAAATTGAAACAATGGTCAGAGTCTGACACTCCTGGTGAACGGCTGGCATGGGAACACTGGACAGTACTTTCTTGTACATGAAACATCTTCCCAATATACTCAAATCCCCTTGCTCCCCTCCTTTATGTTATTTATTTATTTATAAATAAATATATATATTTTAATTGATTTGAGAGAGTAAGGAGAGATAAAAACATCAATGATGAGAGAATCACTGATCTTCTGCCTCCTGCACACTCCCCACTTGGGATCAAGCCCATAACCAGGGCATGTGCCCCCAACTGGAATCGAACCCGGAACCCTTCTATCCACAGACTAACACTCTACCTGCTAAGCCAAACCAGTCAGGGCTCCCCTCCTTTAAATGTGTGCTCTTAAAATCCTCAGGAGCCACATGCTTGTCATTCCTGAGTGCTGCTCAATTTATACAGGGTGGAAAAAGTAGGTTTACAGTTGTGAGTATGCAAAACACAGTTTATTATTGTATGATCATTTATTCTTTTAATATTGTATTAGAACTGTAAACCTACATTTGCCCACCTGTGTTTTCACATCACCTATCACCTAAGAATTTACTATAACATAGAATATTTTCTCTTGAGTGACTGGCTACGCTTTTAATAAAGCCTTTGATGAAGCCTGGTAGGGAACCTATTCCTTTATTCACTGCTGTGTAACACAGCCTCTGAAGCAGTGACATTATTAATAAAAAGACTGTTGAGCCCTAGCCGGTTTGGCTCAGTGGATAGAGAGTCAGCACAGATTCGATTCCGGTCAAGGGCACATGCCTGGGTTGCGGACTCCATCCCCAATGTGGGGTGTGCAGGAGGCAGCTGATCAATGATTCTCTCTCATCGTTGATGTTTTTATCTCTCTCTCCCTTACTCTCTCAAATCAATAAAAAAATATTTTAAAAAAACCTGTTGAAACAATGAAACTTGCTGCTATGGCTATTTTTCTACAATTCGAAATTGTTCTGCTCACACCTTACTCTTTCTCACCTCACCAGTATTTCCCCAAGTTGGCATGAATTGAAAAGCACACACACACACTTTGCTGTAAGAAGAATTTCAGTGTAGCCAAGTTTTCACGAGAACCAAAACTTAGGTTAATTTTCTCATCTCTTAACAATCAGGCCCTTGCCGGTTTGCCTCAGTGGATAGAGGGTCAGCCTGTGGACTGAAGGGTCCCAGGTTCAATTCCACTCAATGGCACATACCTGGGTTGCAGGCTCCTCCCCGCCCCAGGCCCTGGTCAAGGCATGTGGAGGAGGCAACTAATCAATGTGTTTCTCTCACATTGACATTTCTCTCTCTCTCTCTTAAAATCAATAAAAACACATTTTTTAAAAATGCCTATTTTTAAAAATATATTTTATTGATTTTTTACAGAGTCAAAGAGAGAGGGATAGAGAGTCAGAAACATCGATGAGAGAGAAACATCAATTTAGCTGCCTCCTGCACACCCCCTACTGGGGATGTGCCCGCAACCAAGGTACATGCCCTTGACC